TTGGACAAAGTAATAGTTCAATTGTGGTTGCTGTATTGCATGATGTTATCTTCAGATTAGTTGTTTAGGTTACCAGATATAAGTGTACAAAGTTGGCTTAAAACAAGAACAAAAAAAGTTATAAGAAATTGAAAAGAAAAGAATAAAAAGAAAAAAAATTAAACATTAACTGCTGCTTTCAAAAGACCAGAGATTGGGAGTACAGTTATCCAAATTATCCTGCATATGTATACATAAATATATCTGAAAGTCTGTATTATTACTGATGAGTAATGGAAATGGAAAGTTCTTTTGTATGTTTCCTACCCTGGATTTGTGTGCATATGTGTCAGATTTGTAGTTACATATGGCTTTTACATTAATAATCCCCCCAACAATGCAGTCTGTCAACTCTAAGATCTGGTTTGATTTAAATTCCATTGTTTTTTGGGGGAGGTGGCTACTAGGAATTGAACTCAGGGCCTTTGCACTGAAGTACAACCTCAACCCCCCTCCGCCCCCAAACAATTATTTAGGGACATGGTCTCAATCAGTAAGCAGCCCAGGCTGGGTTTGAACTTACAGTCCTCCTGCCTAAGCCTCCTAGAAAGCTGAGGTTACAATCTGTGCCATCATGCCTAGTTTAAATTCTATTTTTTATTACTGTTAAATTGTGTGTTTCTCTTCCATGTGTTTATAATGGACCCCTGAAATTCAAAGGGGTTAAGTTTGTAAGCATCTGTGATTGAAAAAAAAACCCAAAAGACCCCCTGCATATTCCAGACATAGTAAGAGTCAAATTTGCTTATAAATGCAAATTTTTATATTTTAAACCCTAAGTATGCTATCTAATAAAATACTGTATTATCAAACCTTAAATGGTGCAGGGGTTTTGACAACATTTTAGGGATCTAAGAAGACCAAAACTGGGAACACTCAAGACAGCTACATGTGGTACAGAAGCCTTGTTGATGCGGGAGTGCTGGTGCATCGTGGAGAGATGGGTTATAAAGCAGCAGCCAGTAAGCAGCAAGAAAAAGAGAATAATGCTCTTGATTGGCTACTTGCAAACTTCCTACCAATGAAAAAGTGGCAGAGTGTTTTTTGCAGTTTTGCCAAATTGCAGATTTCAGTGAGCAATTTTTAGTTGGGTTCTAAGGAAAAATCCAAGAATGACTGAGGCCACAAGCTCTGAACTGCACCTCCATGGGGATATTCTGTATTGTTACAGCATATTTACATAAACTGAGATGAACATTGAGCTTTGATGTCTCAATAAGATCTTTCAAGTGATTTACTTAGTATTTTTCTGGGTCATGAAGTGGAGCTTTGTAGTGTCTACAGCTGCACTGGCTGTAGGTGATGACTTTCAGAGGAGGTGATAATCTGAATCATATGTTCTGTAAGCATTAAAGCAGTTTAGATTAACCAGTTTTCCATTTATAGAAGTAATTTCTGTTTTTAAGTAATATAAGAATAGTATAAAGATATATGACATTCCAAATTATTAGTATTTAGTGATTGATTACTTTTTTCTTATGCAGAACACTATTGCAGTGGCTGGATTTACTGTTTTGTCAGCATCTCTTCTGTAAGATGGTAAACACTGAAAACATTTGAAGACTTCGATTCTTTATGTAAGTGTAACTTCAGTTCTCTCATTATATTATTTTTCAGTGAATTAAAAAGGAGATAGAAGTAGTATTTATGTAAATCTGTACAGAAACTACTTAGTCTGGCTGAATTACTTTATTTACTTCAAACTTTCTCAGTGAAGGGTCAGTCGTCTGCTGAAAAAAAATGGACAGTTAGCAGATTAACAGGAGAAAAAGCAAATTCATTAATGTCCATACATTCAGAGGAATCCTACGCAGTAAAATATTCAAAAAAGCACCAGATAGTTGAACTTAAGTACTCTCTTCATAAGAAAGAAGAGAGCATTATGAGCTTCATAATGAGACCCTGTACCAAATACATAGGAAGAAAGAAAAGAAAAAGAAAGAGGGGGAGGGGAGGGAAGGGAAAGGAAGGGGAGGGAGAAGCCAATGGTTATAGAAACAAGAATGAGTCAGAACAACAGAGTATCCCAACACAGAGTTCTTTTGGGTGCTGGCTGTCTTGTCTGGCATTTAATCACTTTCTCATGATAAGCATTTAATCATGCTTGGTAAATGGAATTGCTATAAGAATATCAAAAGCTAGTCATGTTCCTCTTTGGGAGACATGGTCTTTAATTAGGTAATGGAACCTCAGAGAAAGACATTTTTGTTGTCCCTAGTTGTCCTCAGTTTGAAGTCCAAAGAGATTTATTGTGGGGTATCGTTTTCTGAGTCCTAGCAATTGAATAAATGTATACTACCAAAAGAAAAAAAGATTCCTTTACAAATACTCCAAATACAAAGGAAGGTTTCTCTATAGATACAATCATGCATCTTTTAATGATGATAGTCATGAGTCTGTTAATGATGGGGAAATGTTCTGAGAATTGTGTAGTCATAGCACACTTACAGAAACTTGGAGAGCGTTTATGTTACTAGGTAGACTAATATTATGGGACTGCCATCATATATGCAGTCTATTGTTGAAAATATTATTATCATAAAACTATTAGAGAAGCCTGCTGAACTATATGGATATTGACTACCTCATCCTACTCTTTGTAAAAATATCATGCACTTTTCCTAGTATACTTGATTTTATTTTAGATTAAAAATGGTATACCTTTATAAGTAAAATGAATTTTCTATTTTATTCTCTGTAAAAATGATTATTGGCTCTTTTCTGTTCAACTGTTTTTTGTTATAAACACTTGAAAATCACCCCTTTATTTAGTCAGACTGTTAGGTTAAGTTGGGCCAAGCCATGAACCTACAGCCCACATCTGTCTGATTTTTTTTTTTTTCCTAGTATGCATGAAGGCATTAGGAGAGGTAAGAATAGTCCTGTTTGATGTCAGTTTTAATACAGTAGATTGAATATTGGTGAGGTTTACAGTGATTACTACTACCTATCTTTTTCCTTTTCTTTTTGAAAAAGTCCAGGGTTCTATACAGGAAAATCTCTGAACATCAACTCAGATTTTCTACTTACTTTGGACTGATCAATCTCTTTTACATTTTGTCCTGAGAAGTGAGTATTGACACACTTAAAATTTATTGTCTATTTTTTAAAGCACAGTCCATTTGAACTTACATCTCTTTATTTTTTACTTGTAGTTCTGATGACTTTGTATGTCAATCTAATGTGAAACCTGTAACACATAATGCCTTTGCAGTAAATGTGAATTTTGTGTAGTTAAGTATATGATTTTACTACTGTGATCACATTTGATGTAGTTTTTATACAAGCAAACTGTTTCTTTTTTTTTTTTTAGGGTTTTGTTAAATCTGTAAGAGATTTTGCCACAGAATCAATGTCTTTGGTAAGACAATATTTATTTTAGATTCTTACTCCTATACCTTTGCATACATGTACACATAGATATGGACACATTTGTATATACTTTGTACTTTGATTTTGAATTAATTTTTTTTGTAATTGAGTTTGAAGTACTGTAGTACCATTTGGAAAGTAATCTTTTTCTGTATCTGATAGTGTTACTTTGGAGTTATATATTTACCTAGTACTATAATTAATATCTGATTATTCTGTGTTTAAAATGTCTTCTCAAGGCACAAAGGCCGGGGGTTTGATTTCCCGGCCTGCCATGTTGGCCCCACCCCTGGAGTGCACTGAGTTGGCAGTTGAGACTGGGTGTGGTGGCACATGCCTATAATCCTAGCTCTTGGGAGGCTGAAAACAGGAGGATCACTATGAGTCTGTGCTACACAGTGAGACCCTGTAACCCTGTATACCGTATCCTAAATACAAAAAAATAAAAAATAATAAAATAATAAAATATCTGCTCATATTTTGCATAAGCTATATTTTGGAAGAAAATTAAAATTTAAATATACTCATGAAAACATTGAGATTTTTATTAATTTTATATTCTATCAGAATTAATTTCTATTGTTTTTCATCAGCTTGTATTTAAACAGATTGTTGAATTGTGATGTGGCAAGATTTTTGAATAAATTTTTTAGGTAGATGTGGTGCACACCTATAATCTCAGCAATCAGGAGACTGAGGCAGGAGGACCACTGAGTTTGATGGCAGTCTGGGCTACGTAGTGCGTTCAAGGCCAACATGAACTGCATAGCAAGATCCTGTCTCAAAAAAATATTTTTATACTTGTTATAGATACATTTTGCTTTTTTAAATAATTGTTTTACACATTTATAAAATTTTGTTTTGTCAGTGCAGTAGAAAGTTTCCCATTTTGACATCGTACAGGTTATTTGTAGCTGAATTAAACTAAAGAAGATGATATATTTATAAAGTTTAATACAGTGTCTTATTTATATTTTTAAACCTGTAGTTTTTAATGGTAGAATAGTATAAAGATTTATTTTTTGTAATTAACAGTTACTCTAAGACCCTAATTTGAAATTATGACTAATAGTGTAGTTAAAATTTGTTTGGAGAAACTGACCAATAAAAAGTTGATGTACTTTTAAAAGTGAGAATTTGTGAATTAATCCTAGATATTAGTATTCCTCAAAATTGTTTTAGATTGATCAACTTTAAATACTTGATATATCTGTGAACCTAGAAATAAAGCAGAACTAAAGAAGCCTTAGAACTTGGACAAAAACATAGTTGTTGGGTTTTTAAATAGCTCCCCAGAGCCTCATGCGATCATCGGCAGGGCTTTTTCGGAGGTGGCTGAATCTAGAGTATGCGACACTGAAATTGATACAGTGCAGTGTGAGGCTCTAGGTCTGGGTGCCACCTGCCCTCAGTAATGTGGATAGGATAGAAAGGATAGACAGAGCTGAGGGTGTCCCTTGCGGCTTTATTACCTTCTGCTGGCCATGACCTGGTGCTCTCTGTGGTGCCTGTCCGCCATCCACCCTGCCCTGGAGCTAGCCAGTTACACACTGGGAGCTAAATCAACTTTTCCTCCTTTAACTTCAGATGTATGGTGTTTTTGTTCAGCAAAGAAAAAGTGACCAAAACAATAGTTTTCTATAGAGTCTGGATATTTGAAGTTAAAGAAATCTCGTATATTTTTATTGGACTTTTTTTTCTGGCTCTGGGACGCTCATTTTGCATTTTTAAACTGAACATGAAACTTTTAGTTGATATCAATAAAACATCCAGTTATTGTTTATGAGGTTCTTATTGTTTCCCTGAAAAGAATTATTTTCTTCTTCTTCAGAATATATTACTAAGAGACTAGTATAACCATGAACCAGAGTGCTTCTAGAATTTAGGAAAATTACTGTATTTTCCAAGGAATAAAAAGATGACCTTTTCAAACCACTTTCGGACAATAATTTTATCTTGTCCTATCTTCAGCATTTAAAAAGCATTTCACTGGCCAAGTTATTCTGGACTCTCAAATGTTGAATTTGTTTTCTCTGTTTAGAACACTTCCAGCTCTGTTTTATGCTTCATTGGTTCCTTTCTTTACCTTTTTAAGGAAAGACTCTTTGTGCAAATGTTCTTCCACATCATTAATATCCAGCCCCTCAAAGGGACTTTCTAAGGCAGCCTGTTACATCATCTCTACTCTTTTTTCTGAAAAGAAAGCTTTTCAGATCTCTGGTTATGCAATATTATATAAGTCTTTGTCTTTTCCATAGTATAGGGATTGATTCTGTTTTATTTATAGATTTAGTTTCAGTTCCTTGTATAATTCATGGTCTGTTGTTGAAGAAAGGAAGGAAAACCTAAAGGAATTAATGAATTTAATTTATGCTGCTTAGTGTATTTTCTCTCATTATTTTTATATGATATTGCTTACTGTAGTTGATTTTTGGCCACTGGTTTACTTCCTGCACATGATGTAAGTCACATTTCATTTAATACATTACTTCCATTTTCTTGACTGATTCTATAATAGGCTTTCTTTTCAACTAACTGAACATTAAAAAATATGCATGTCTGTGTGAAATATGGATCTTGTGATATACATGGTTCATGAAAGTGCTATCAGATTATCCTTAGTTTATCATAAACTCATAGTTTTTTCATGAACATGTTTTAATATCTTATGCCAAGTGACTGTGGACATAACCTATTATTGTAGCAACTAGTCATGTGTAGTTAGTACAGCTTTTCATTTTCAATAGTCCTATTTAAATTCCTTAATTGCCATAGCATCAGCATAGAGTATTTCCATTGTCATGGAAGGTTCTGTTGGACAGTAATGTTCTAGTTTTTAAACATTTGTAGGGTAATAAAATACTTCACCAAGTAGTGCCATTATAGAAACTAGATCTTTTAATCAGAGTTGAGAGGGTATAATAAAGATATGCCTATTAATAAATATATGCTTATTGTCATAGATAGTAGAAAGCAAATCTTTTGCATAAACATTCTAAAACTTTTCAGATCTCTGGTTATGTAATATGTACAATCTCTTGTAAGTGCTGTTCTGTTTCATATCCTTCCATATTTGTATTTGTTACTGCCTTAGGAAGCCTTTGCTTGTGACTCTCCTTTCTCAGTGTTAGTCAGCTTACTGATGCTGGGACCAAATACCAACTTTAAGAGAAAAACAACTTAAAGGAAAATTTTAAGGAAAGGAAAAACAATTTAAAGGAAAAGTAATTTAAAGGAAATAAGGAAATAAGCCTTATTATTTTGACTCACTTGGTTTATGTTTTCAGATATTTCCGTTCTAGCTCAAGGCATAAACATTATGGAATGAAAATGCTGGCAGGAGGGCATGGCTGTGGAAAGCTGCTCACCTCACAGGAGCCAGGGCTAGCTGAACATACAGAAAGAGATACTTTCTTCAAATGGATGCCCTTAGGAACCTACTTCCTCCAACCAGGCCCCAGGTTATTTGGCTAATGGGCTCATCAATAAATTAATGCATTGATAAAGTTAGCATCCTCATAATCCAGTCATCTTCCTCGGCTCTACCTCTGAACATTGCTGCAGTAGGTATCAAGTCCTCTGGACGTAATCTTCACAAGACTGCATCATATTTAAGCTATGTCACCTCCTCGTCCTAGCTCCTCCCAGCATATATTTATCTCTTAGGTTAAAACTGATTGAATGTCCCTCCATAATCTTGCTCACTCAAGGGCACATTAAACAGACTTGTGAGGGAATGCCTAGGAAGCAGAGATAATTTGTAGAGAAAAGTATAATGACAAATAAAACTTAGCTGGTATATATAAACATATTAGCTGATTTACATGGAGAGCCAACTTAATAGTTAAGTTGTTTTCTTTGGTCATGAGTTAGCAAGTTACATGGATGATTATAGTGGTTAATCTTCTTGAGCTGTACTGGTCTTCCCTAGTCATCTGTGAATTAGAGATACTTACAAGAATGGAATAATGGGTGCAGTTATTTTGCCAGCAGAGATGCACATCTTCTCTTTCTTGTTTCTTAAGCTGGCCATTATTCTTTCTTCATTGATGAGCTACTGGCTTTTTCTGTATTAAGATTTGATTAGATTTCTAAGTCCTGTTCTTTGCTTGACTTGAATCAGTTTCATTAAAAAATACAATTTTTTTTTTAAGTTTTAAAATTTTATCTCTCAAATGTTAGCCTTATTTTCTGTTTGGGTATAGGCTGGTCGATTTTGGTGGATTCCCCCCACCCCACCACCACTGAAGCCTTCTCATAGTCAGTGCAGTGTTTCTGTCTGTGTGATGAGACAGCCCTGTAAACCTTTTCTTTTCTTGCCACATTCAAACACCGTTATTTCAGTAACTGATCTTTCTTTCCTCTTACTGCATATTTATTCACCTTATCTCTTTTGAGGAATCAGAACCTAGCATTATTTGTGCTCCAGTATAATCTTTGTAATAGTATAGAAAAAAAGTGAAAGAAATTATGTCTAAGTTTTGAGGTGACATTAAAAAAGAAAACTCAGACCCAAAATACATACAAGCTGTTTTAAGAATTCTTTCTAATAACATTAGTCATCCTCTTGGTTTCTTTGCCCCAAAAGTTAGGAAGTACTAATTTAAAAGATAACTAAATTGATTTAATTACTTAGAACCTTTTCATATCTTGGGAGTATTCTAGATAAAACTTTTTTTTTCTGAAATTATAAGACATAAAATTCTTTATCAATAAGACCAGTATTCTATTTACCTCTCCAGGGCTTTCAGAAATGTTTCATTGTACCTAGTCATTTCCTTTTGTTTAAACTGTTTTCTTAGACATTGAACATATACATATTTTAAAAACATTTCCTGTTATTGCTTTAGTTTATTCATTAATTGCTGATGTTTTCATATTCTGTGTTCTGGTTTCTTACTGAAGTAGTAAAATGTTTATGTTAAATTATAGGGGTATGATGCTTTTATGGGCTGGTGTGCTAGTTACACCACTTTTGAATAGTTATATTACAGGGTCTATAGGGTCTCATTACACTGATCAGACTCAGTGATCCTCCTGTTTTCAGCCTCTCAAGCACTGGGATTACAGGTTCTTGCTACCATGTCCAGCCTCGTTCACTGCCTCAGCACACCCGGGGGCTAGGGCAGTATGGCACGCCAGGGATCAAACCCTAGTCCGTGCACTGGCCTAAGCAGGTGCTTTAGTCTGCTCAGCTATCTGGCGGGCCCTGAATTTTTATTTCTAAAGCAAATATTTGGTTTATAAAGTAATATTTCTATTCTGGGAATTGCTTTCTTCAGACTATGTCTCCTTTAGACACTTAAAAGGAGAAAATGCGGTTATATAGATTTGCTGATTTATAAGCATGATTCTGATACGATCCTAAAATGTAAATATTTAATAAGTAACCACTCTTTTTTTTTTCTTTCAGGTTCCAGTGACAAATTATACGTATACACCCTTGAATCAACTGAAGGGTGGTACAGTAGTAAATGTCTATGGTGTTGTGAAGTTCTTTAAGCCCCCATATCTAAGCAAAGGAACTGGTAGGTATTAAATTTGGTAAAGGTTATATGGATTAGAATTTAATTATTGGTTTCAGAACACTGCTCCATTAGTAGCTTAAGACTTATTAGAACAGAAGTTCAGTTCTTATTTATAATTGCCAAAAACATGTACATATTCTCTGGTTGTCTTATTTTATGAAACAAACACTCTTAAGATTCTGGAGTCTCAGTATACAAAAAAATTTTTGAAAGATTAGCAACCAACAACACAAAAGCATTTGCGAGGTTAAAATTTGCTAGCAAATGTATCTATAGTGGATATATCTAATGATATAGATTAGACAATACTATAATATTGTAATAATGCTACATAAATCACGTTTTTACTCTGGTACCAAAGTTAAAAGACAGATGTTTAGAAAAGATATAAATAGTAACATCAAAAATTTATAGTGAGGGAAAAGCTAAAGGTGTAGAATTTTTTTTATGTGATTGAAGTTTTTATATAAGCTTAAGATGCATTTTTATTACTACAAGGTATTTCACCTAAACCACTAATCACAGGAAAATACACCAAAACATGAGAAAAAAAATCAACAATTATCATTACAAAAATTCAACCAAACATAAAAGAATAGGAGAAGATGTACAGATGTACAGACTAGTAGAACAGAATAGCCCAGAAATAAGCTATAGTGTGTAACCAGCTGATTATCAACAGGATCCCAGTAATGTGTAGAGAGGGAAGGATAGTCTCTGTAATAAATGGCTCTGAAAATCCTGAATATCCACATGCAAAAGCAATTTCAGAGTGGATTAGGATTTAAACATGTACCACCCAAACTGAAACTTCTTGAATAAAACATAGGGAAATAGTTTCTCAACATTGGACCTAGAAAGGGTTTCTTAGATATCAGTAAATGTACAACAGCAAAAGCAAAAGTAGACAGATAAAAGCAAAGGAAATAGAGTGTAAAAGCTGTACCTAGAGTGGGAGAAAATATCGTCAAACCATGTATCTAAAGGGTTAATCTCCAGAAAATAAAAAGAACTGTGCCACTGAGTAGCAAAAGACCGCAAACAAACCAAACAAGACCAAAAATACGAAGGTTAAAGACAACCAAAAACATAATAACTTGGTCAAAAATCTGATGATTTGAGTAGACAGTTCTCCAAAGAAGTCAATCAAATATAAAATGTGCAAAGATGCTCAGTGTCATTAATCATTGGAGAGTGGCAATCAAGAGCACAATGGTGTATCACCTCTATACTTGTTAGGGTGGCCATCAAAAACAAAATAACAGCTGTTAGCCAGGGATATAGCTAAGTGGCATAAGCAGCTGCCTGGCAAGTGCAAGGTTCTGAGTTTTATCCCTGGTGCAAAAAAGAAAAAAAAACAAAAAACTGGCTAGGATATGGAGAAATTGGAACTTGTATACACTGTTTTAAGACTGTGAAGTGGTACAGCCATTGTAGAAAAAAAATTAAGTTCCTTAAAAATAGAGCTACCTTGTGGTTCAGTAGTCCCATATCTGTGCATCCAAAGAATTGAAATTAGGCTCTCAAAGAGATATTGAGCTCCCATATTCACTGTAGAATTATTCACCACAGACAACCTGTATCAGAGAACTAAATGTCAGCGTTAAGTAGAAAAGGAACATGTGGCATATACATGGAGTGGAGTATTGTTCTGCTTCCAGAAAGAAGGAAGTCCTACCATATAAGTCATTCAGATATGAGAAATCTGTATCAGTTTTTGCATAAAAGTAGAAAGGAGGTGGTTTCCAGGGTCTGCGGGGAGAGAAGTGGATACCTGCACTATAGTAGATAGAAAATTTGTGTTATTCATGATGAGAATGTTTTAGTGATGTGCTCTACACCACTGTGCTGTAGACTTAGAAGTTTGTTTGGATTGTAAATATCATGTTGTATATTTTTTACTCCACCCCCTAAAAAAGATAAATGAAGCAATTATAATGTTGAGATTAGACTTCTAACTGAGTTTTGGCCTACACACCTAGGTAGTTTTCAAAGTAAGGTATAGCTTGCAATGTGATAATGTAAGACTAGGGAAAAACAGCTGAAAGAACAAATCAAAAACCATGGACTTCAGTTTATTGGGAGATGATTAAAAAAGCAGGAAAGCACATTTCTCAATTTGATCCCACATTTCACCTCTTCTAAAACACTATCATTGGTTAAAGGCACTATTTTAGGTGTTATTAAGAACAGAAAATACTGCCAGGTATAAGTATCCTTTTTTAAAAATAGAACCCTTATTTTAGAGATGTTAAAAATGTGAAGTCATGGCTGCTGCTGCTGAAATACTGTCTTTATGTACTGTGTGTCAGGAGCTATGGTCATGCTGGGAATGCAGTAATGTTCTCATTGAGTTCTTATTACACCGTTTTATTTATAAAGATTAATATATGCATATTTTATTTAGAATAAATTGAGAATCTATTCTTGAGTGTGGTGAATGGGAGGAATCTCATTTTCATGTGGTCAGCACACTTTAGTAATGCACAATATAAAAGATACCTTCTGAAGATGTCCTTATGAAGGCCTCTTTAGAGATAAACTTGACATGGGTTTCAGATTAAGTCTGGAAAATCCTTAAGACAGGAAAATCCTCATTATACACTAAAAACGTATACTAAAATATAGCCGTCAAAACAAGAGGAGAATGGAAAACATTAAACATCAAATGTAAGCAGAGATATTTTTATTTGAATGTATTTTTCTCAGCCAATCATGACAGGACACACCTATAATCCCAGAATTTTAGAGGCAGAGGCAGGAGTTTCACTTGGAGTGTGAATCCATCCTGGGCTACATGTTGAGTTCAAGGCCAGATTAGAATACGTAGTGAGGCCCTATGTCAAAAAATTAAAAGAAATGGATAAATTTTTCTCAGTTCTTTTGATTCCAACTTTATTTTTCCTCAAACTTTATATTCTTCCACTCCATCAGTATAGACTCCTCATTTCATTCTGACAGTCTCTTCTCACTCTAAAAGTTTTCTTCAAATTGTGCATGTGTCCTTTCTGGGTATTAGGTACAATGGTATAATCACTGTGATCTAGCCTCTTAAAGAACAAGTTTTCAGTTTTACCTGGTTGACTTTGATTGCCCTTCCAAGTTTAGGAGAAGCTACATTACTGTTAATAGTGTCCATCTAGCTTAGTAGATGGTATAATTAAAAACTTTTGGTACCTGGTATGTTAATTCTTATTTTTGAAACTTTTAAGAGTAAGTTGTTCATCAAATATATCATTTTCAGAAACAATCTAAAATGGTTTAGAATGAAATGATATTTGCTTTAAAGACACTGGTGATTCTATTTATTTTCATTTATTAGACAGTATATTCATATTTTATTCTTATGTTATTAAATCATGCATAAAATGAAAGCCACAGAGAACTAATATTTATTAGTTTATGCATACATCTGTTATGTTATTATCAGATATGTTTAGTTGAATCCAGTCTTAGTGAAAAATTCATGGCTGGTAATGAACCATCTGTTCTTACAGAGACAATGTGTTTGTTTCTTCAGAGGTACTAAATTAAATAAATGTGATCAATTTTATCTGAACATAGTCATTGAAACTTTAAAATCCATGTTTCAGACACAGCAAGATCTCTCTACTACTGCCAAGACAGTAAGTTTTCAAACTATCCATCTTGCAGCTTTAGTTACAGTTACATTTTCATTTCTGTTGACAGAACTCATCCTTCAGCAGGAGCAGATGTGGCAGGAAAGTCAGACAGCATTCATACTGTTTTCAGGAAATGATCTTTTTTTCATTAATATTACCCCAGGAGAATACCATTGTAAATATGTAGGAACAGCTACACTTTTCTAAAATATTACATAAAGTGGTGTTATTTCACAAATATAGCCCCCACCTCAGTTACATCCAGGTGTACATAACTAGTTAGGTAGAGAAACATCATCCTTTTGCAACTCAGACTTATCATTAGATGAATGGGAATATGTTTATATTATGTTATATATCATTAGCTACAATTTTACTAAAGCTCATTTAATAAATGCTAACATCAAGGTGAAATAGGTAATTAGATATACTTTGCTATCCTTACTCCTTGATTAAAAATTTTCCTGAAGACATTCTTGTCATACCAAGTGCTAATGATTACAGGTGACTGGCAGCATACTGTAGTTTCTTAATGTTGATAAGCAGTCTTCATCTGTAGCAGATACATTGTTTCTTGACTCTTACTGTCAGTCCTAAAAAAGGGTATCAGTTTTTAGTCTTTTAAAAGTCTATCAGATCTGTTACCACAGTATATATTAAACAGTGATATTCTTAATTATAATAAGATTTACCATGAAAACAGTTCTTCAAGGATTATAGAATTGCCATAGATTAAATATTTTATCATCAAAATTGATTCATCAGGGTTACTTAATATGATCTTCATATAGGAAAGCCAATCAGTTACTTTCCTAGGAGTTTGGAGGGTTTTTTGTTTGTTTGTTTGTTTGGTTGGTTTTTTTAGCAGTGATTTCCTCTGAACGATTATGTATCAGTCCATACTTTTTGTTTTTAATACTGCTCTGGGGACTGAACCTAAGGTCTACACACTGATCTACATCCTAACTTCTTAAACTTTGTTTTAAACGAATTTGAGATAGTGTTCTGCTAAGCTGTGTAGACTGAGCTCAAAGTTTTGATACTCCTGCTTCAGACTCCCAGAGGGCTGGGATTACAGGTTTTTGTGACCATACCTAGCTTAGTTCTTGTTTTTTGAATATATTTTAAAGATGGATGATAGCTTGCCTAATGTAATGGTGGAAGTTGTGGGGTAGGCAGTACTATGTTCTCCATTTAGAATGCATTATTAGTGGCCCTAGATGCGTGAGGTGAGGTTTTGCCAGGTGGTAGGCTCCTACAGACGTGGAGGGCATGGAGGCTATGGCTGATCATTGCTGATCTCTTTAATGATTTGAAAAGCTGACCTCAGTTTCCCCTCTTCAGCTGATTCATACTATTTTCCAGTTCTTTTGTCCA